TTTATAAATCTTTAAATGGGCTGGCACCTTCTTATCTTGTGGAACTTTTGCATCCGTATAATCCATCGCGGTGCCTCAGATCAGCAGATCAGCTTTTTCTGGAGGCACCGAGGGCCAGGCGGAAAACTAGGGGGGATAGAGCCTTTGCTGTGATAGGTCCAAACCTATAGAATGCGTTGCCACTTTATATTAGGCAGGCCCCCTCACTGTCTACTTTTAAGTCTTATCTGAAGACATACTTGTATTCATTGGCGTTTGACCAGGAATGAGACTGTCTGTAGTGTTAGTGTTTATATTACTGTTTATAGCTTTTTATGTGTGGTTTTTTTATATTTGTATGATATGTTAAGTGCTTTGGTCAGCTGTGCTGTGGTAAAGCGCTATATAAATAAAGTTGAGTTGAGTTGAGTTGAGCTACATGCACAGATTCTGTATGCCGTGGGCTATTCTGTATGAAGTGTGCCTCCTCTATAATGTTACTTTATATCAGGGCTACAGGTTATAGTTTTTCTATAGACCACCACACCTATGTCGGATGTTGGGAATTGTCCAAAAAAGATTTTGATATTTGCTCAGAAATTGGCAGAATATAATATAATTTCAAAATGTTATTTATTCTCTTTTTGGTGTAAGCCCTTATCTAAAAGGTCTGAATGTTCTAAGCTGCACATTGACGGCACAAACTGTCACTGAGAGAGCATTCACCCTTTTGCATCATTAAAATGTCATGAGAAATGTTGCAGCTGTCTGTTCAGAATCTTGTTCTACAATACCAAGACTACCTAAAAGAAAAATTGTAGGTTGTAACTATAAAATTTAGCTTCAGTTTTGTGACTAGAACCGCAATGTGACATCAGTAAAATAAGTTTCAGTTTATACATCTATTCAGTCACATGCTATATGTGTGTGGGTGTCTAGGTATGTGTATGCGTGGGCAACAGGAGGAGTTTGGAAACTTGTCTATAAATGTTTTGCTAAACACTACAACAGACAGTCAGGTTATAGTATGACATTTTTAAGTGGATATGAGCTGGGATGGCATGTTTGTGACAAAGTGAGAAGCATAAAGAGATGAAGCATTATTTAGAAAAGAAGAGAAGAGTCCAAGAGAACTAGACAAGACAAGTCATCAGTGCAGAGCTGACAGACCGTGGTTACAGGAAATCCCCTGTGAGCTGGTCACCTGACTCAGCCATGACATTGGCAGTTGCAGGAGGAAAAGCAGAGGGCTGAATGTGTGGTGATGGAAGAAGAGAAGAGGAAGAGGAGGAAAGGAAGTAGAACTGCCAAAGCTCAGTTTTGTCCTTTATTGTTTTCCCTTCCTGTGTGAAATGATCTTCCATGTGTTCCCACACATGGAGCAAACAGAAGACATCTTTGGGTTTATGTCAATAAATTTCATTTCAGCATCAAAACCATCTTTTCTGGAAATGTGTAGAATGACCAAGTATCAGAGGATTTAGAAATCAGTACATCCTCTAGAGATGGGCATCCATGTGTAAATGTATATATTTTCTCATTCCTATGTTTGAATTTGTGCCAGTTAGTAATTGGTGTTGTGTTTCCTGCAGCACTTCTCAGCCTCACTTGTCAAACAAAGATGTGGGAGACACTTGTATGTTATCTTTGAATTGTCGGTTTGTCAAGTTTGAGTTTCTGTAGGTGGCTCTGGTTTTTGTCTCCTCGGCTGCTGCTCATACTCTTTTGTTCAGTTCAGTCCACTCAGCTGATGCAATGACTGTGCGTCACTTCCTGTGTCCATTTCCAGTAAACACATTGTTCTGAGCATCAGTTGTTAACAGTTAAAGCGGTTTTGCATTCCGTCACTTGCCCATTCACTCTGACCAATTTATTAAACAATGTTAAGGACTTTTTATTTCAACGTTAAAATTTGAACTGATGCCCCTTTGTCAATGTTAACTAAATTCACTAGCCTACAGTTGTGGTGCTTGTGTGTTACTCACAACACAGGGACATCTAATATGCATGCTAGTGTTTTCCTGCCTGAGTGACAAAATGTGATTATGTTAAATGTGTAAAGACCCAATATTGTGCTCAGCCTTGCTAATATATGTAAAAGTAACAAATTAATTACTCACAGGTTGCCTGGAGTTACAGTGTTTTTGAAAAAGTATAACATATTTTGATCTGTGTCGGCAATTTCACAAGGATGAAACTGTCTGCGGTGATGCTCAAAACAAAATGGATGCAAAATTATGAGAAATCTCACTTTATATTTACATCATTGTGTTTTTACTTTGTGATTTATAATGAATTACATATTTTAAAAAACGGCATTAGGTTATACAGGAAAGATGGACTGTTTTAAAGTAATTAACTTGGTTTGTCTGCGATGGATTGGCAACCTGTCCAGGGTGTACCCTGCCTTCGCCCGATTGCCGGTCGGGATTTTCTCCGCCCATTGGCCGCATTCATCCTTCCCTCGATTGCAACCAGTCGTCCTGTCCCTGCAGCTGAAAAACACCCCCATAGCATGATGCTGCCACCACCATGCTTCACTGTTGGGACTGTATTGGACAGGTGATGAGCAGTGCCTGGTTTTCTCCACACATACCGCTTAGAATTAAGGCCAAAAAGTTCTATCTTGGTCTCATCAGACCAGAGAATCGTATTTCTCACCATCTTGGAGTCCTTCAGGTGTTTTTTTAGCAAACTCCATGCGGGCTTTCATGTGTCTTGCACTGAGGAGAGGCTTCCGTCGGGCCACTCTGCCATAAAGCCCCGACTGGTGGAGGGCTGCAGT